CAAAAATGAATGAAATGTAAGAAGTGAATAGTGTTTTCAAAAATTCATTTCTAGGGCAAACAAAATTGTTAAAAGGAAATCAAAATAATTTGTTTCTGCCACTAGAGGGCAGATGTCATACAACATGCTGGATGACTCATTCATCTGTTACTATAAAATGAAAGTATATATTTTATATTTTTCGTTTTTCTTTCAGATTGAGAATATATCCAGTGTGAGTGATGTTGCCATAGTAACATCACTTATGGTCAATAGCACAGATCCAGATCAGGTGATGTACGGTGGTGACGTGATTGGATCAGTAAATAATATAAATTCATTAAATAAAATCATCGCTGAACAATCTGGTATTGATGAGGAATACATGCTGGAGTTTATTGACAAGGTTGCCATGGTGAGGATTAAACCATTATTGTGTTATGGGTGTGTGTAATTACGAATGGAGATATATGAGTGAATGCTCATTAACATTTTTACTATCAAAATATTTCACCAATTTTTTTTTCCATAATTTCTTCAAATAATTTTGAACCAAATTGACATAGTTCTGATCAGCTACATGTTTTGATTAACATTTTTTTAAGAAATTGTGGAAAAAATTTTTTTTATGAAAGGTGACATCAATTTACTTTGGTCTTTAAAAGGTTAAAAACCCTAAATGCAAATTAGTTTTGATTGGTATGTGATATGTTAGGCTGAAATGCCTTGATTTCGGAAAAATTTGCACAATGAACCATTTTAAAGACTACATTTTAAAATTCTGTCTGAATTACAATCAGAATATATGGCCTAATAACAATATAACACAAGACATAAGATATTCATGTGAAGTATTGGTTTTTATTGTGTATCAAGGCTTTGACTGAAGTCGGTAGTAATCTACTGGATCATACAGTCGCTTGGAATGATATACCTGGAGAAAAGAGAGTACAAACAGCCACACAACTGTTGCAGTGTATGGATGAAACTGGGTTCCTATTGGTTAATTTGATGAAAGCAGGGCAGAATATCAGTGTGGTAAATGAAAATATTTGTAAGTATACAGGTTGCTATGTGACAGATTATATGATGGTGGTTTACCCCCAGGTGTCTCTGGCTGCATTATATACAGAAAACTGGAGTTAAACAAGAGGTGTATTTTCAATTATGATTCTTTTGACTCCAGGTCATCGCTTCTAATATATGAGCTAATATGGTAAAAATTTGAAAATTGCATATTACTGTAAAATACTTTATTTTCGCTTGGAATTCATTTTCACTATTTTGGCTAAAGGAATGATTCAGTGATAATAAAATCCAGCGAATATATCTTTTTTCCTATATTAAAATACTTTCAACTTGACAGAAATCAGTGAAAATAAATTACATACAAAACACCCAAAAAGTTTTTCAGCAAAAATTAATTCCAGCTAAAATAAAGTAAGCTGAAAAAATAATATATTGTTAACGGTGGAGTACTTATTATTGTCCTAAATTATTTAAAAAAATCAGGGTTTTAAAAAATATTAAAAAATGCAACATTGTGCTCTATGGAATTGTTCTAAAGATAGCAATTTTTGGAAAATATTAGGACAAGTTTCTCAAAATACATCACTGTACCACACAAAAGAATGACATTTCATGATGCCAATGAACACTGTATGCAATTTGTGACCAACTTTCTAAAAAATTATGAGTACCGGTAGGCTTCTAGCTTAACAAACACTCATAAATGTATGCACTACTAATAGAACAAATACTGTACATACAATATTCCATTGAGATTTGTTTCCTATTCATAACAATGTATTATTACTTTTAACTGAATCTCTATATATTTTTAGTGATGGAAGTTTTAGTGAAAGATATGAATGATACAGACAAAGCAGGAATCAAGTTTCCATTCAAGGGTGATCTTGTGCATTCCTCGTCAGCTGATGAGAAAATAAAATCTACAATTGGATCCATTGCTTTGTCTGAAAAAACATTGCAGGATAAAAGTGTAAACGGTAAGTAACAAATAACCCTGTTGCATGACCTCCATCATTTTAGACTTTACACACGAGTTCATTTGATCAAACTGGTCATTTGTCACATAAGAACGTGGTCTTTATATACAGGTCTCAATCTTTACAAGTAAATTGATTGGTTGCTATGGGCAGGTGATCGTAGTATAGTGTGATTAATTGACAAAGCGACATTTCATTTTATTTCCAGGAACTGTTAAGTTAGTGTTTTTCATGTATAGTACCATGGGTGATATATTGGGTACTGGCAGTGACATTGGAAATGAGAATGATACTGCTGACAGTATTGTGAATTCTCCGATTATATCGGCTTCTATTAACAAAATGAACTCACCGTCGTATCTCTCTGAACCAGCAGTTCTTGTTTTTGAGCACAAACAGGTAAGATTAAAACTTAATTTATGGTGTTCATGTAACAAACAGTGCCCTCTGGTGGCCAATCTGTTTCGCCCAGACTCCCTTACAGAGTTCCAGCCATGGAAATTTAATAGAGTGTTTGTTTTGAAACAATCAATTCTTTTATGATAAAATCATTGGCATAACTTAAATCCCTAAAGTGTCATTATCCTTGTATTACTTAACATTACTATACGCTGCCCTCAGTGGTGATTGTTAGAAAAATCAAATGAAAAAAAAACACAGATATTTGAGAACTGCTGTGCTGTATTGACAACAAAATGAACAAACATTTATAATTTTGTCACCTACTTATTGCTTACTGGAGGTTCATCATATGTGATAACTCAATGTGTATACACTGTATAAAAGAATACCGTAAAGTATGCACAAAAGCAGTACAGCGATTGAATTGACAGGTGTAAAAGAGAATCATGGATTCCTGTGCTGCCTGAGTGCATACTTTTTGGTATTCTCAAGTAAACTTTATTATTATACATCTTTTTCCTGCTTATACCGATAGTAATAATAATTTAATGAAAGATAGCAATCTAAAATGGTAATGAAAAATGTGTGAATTTCACCTTCAGTGACAGGTTTCTATATAATTCCATCACCCACTGTAATTCTCCTTCACATAATGTAAACAATTAAAAGTGTTTGAAAGTGATTTTTTAAGTGTGTCAATGTTGGTGACACAGTTTATCCCATATAAATGGGAAATTCATACAAGTGTAAATATATTTTGAAACAAATGTAGATGGCTTTTTATGGAATTGTAAATTCAATTGTTTTCAATGCTGGATGTATAATGATGGTATAGTACCAGTTCGCTGTAATGAAATTTACATACCATACTAAAAACTAATTTTATAATTGTGAAAAATAATGCTGCTGCAGCTAATCATTTTTGTGTTCCTCTCATTTTGCAGACTTACAATGTAACAGATGCAGTATGTTCATATTGGAATTTCACCCCAAGGTGAGTACTGTATATTGGTGTATCATTGAACAGAGTTGGGTGGGCAGGGTGTTGCAGACCAGACCAGGTCAGCTCAGGTCAGGTTAGGCTGGGACTGACAGGTTGGGACTGACAGGGCCATACATAGTGTAGTAATATGTAACTCAGCTCAATCAATCTGGTCTGTTATTGTATCCTATATTCATAAATTCATGTGTTCATATTCATAATATGTAGTCCATTCATAATCATATCATATTTGCAATTTTTTTTATAGCTCAATGTTGAAATGCTGATTTTTCAAAGGACAAATGATATTGAGAGATCTTTACATCATCAAAATTGACTCATAATGCATATTATCGCATATTATTATGTTTGGAAATACCCAAAAAATACTTTTGCATTTGTCAATTCCTATGCGATGTTTTGACCTCAACAATGCTATGACATATGTTTGTCCTGTTTTCTAAGTTTGAATTCATGCATAAAAGTGAAAGAAAAATGGTCCATTCAAACTTGACACAGCCAAAGAAACCAGTGCAGTCTAAGATACTGTAAAACATGTTTAAATAGCTACACGCCTGTTTTGCAAATTTTACTCCATGTAAAAATTAACTGAATCTTAATTTAGTAAAAGTGTCAACAATCTCATTGTGAGAATATACTTTATTTTGAATTAGTGACATCTTGAATTAGTGAAATTACAGATTAGCTAAATTATCTAAAATAACATGCTAGCTAAAAAGACATGTTTTACAGTAGTATGTTTATATTCATATTTTCAGTAATGATGGAATATGGTCAGACTATGGTTGTGAGACTGTGACAAATAATGACACCCATACCGTATGTAAATGTAGTCATTTAACAAACTTTGCTGTCATTATGGATGTCAGAGGAGTTGCTGTAAGTACACAGACTGATTCACAAAATACAGTTTTCAACATATAGTCATTGATGTATGCGGTATCCTGGTTTACAAATATTTCTGTACTTTTCTGAACTAAAACTATAGGAGAAATATTGACTGTCTATTTAAATCCCATCGGAAATTTCAAAGAATAAAAAAAAAATAAATAAAATTAATATCAAATATAATTAACTTTTAAATTAATTTAATTTATTGTTGTCAGGCCATAAGAATTTTTATCAGAATAATACTGTATTTTAATTTAAATTAATTAATATTCAAAATAAGCTACTATATTCAACATATCAATGTGCTATTTTTTTCAGATTTCTCCAGATCACCATTTTGCTCTGTCAGTTATTACATATGCTGGATTTATTGTATCCATGGTGTGTCTTCTACTCTGTCTATTTACATTCTGCTGTTGTTCGTAAGTGCTATTTATTTATTAAATTTCTGATAATTTCTGAAAACTATGCCTGTGGTCATATTTGAATCATACAGTATAAAATAAATGCAACTGATTTATGAATCTACTGTAAACTGATAATAATTTCCTGAGGTACAAATTTTCACTACTTCTGGTGAAAAATTATGAAATTTTAGAGCATTTAATATTGGATTTGACTTGCAGAAAGCTTTGAATTAGATCTGCAGGTGCTTTGGTTCAACTGGACCTGGTTGACATTGGGATATCACATTAATTGCCATTTGATAAACAATTGCAGTGTAGAAAACTCAAAAGATAAAAACTGTCACCTGGTATAAAATATTTTTCACGAAATGTATGCATTTGTTATTTGCGTACCCAACAGAAGCCTCCAGAATGATCGCAATACTATTCACAAGAATCTATGTCTTTGTCTGTTGATTGCGGAGGTGATATTTATGGCAGGCATTGATCAAACTGATCAGGAGGTAAATGTCCTTTTTTTTTCAGCAGTCAAATACTGTAGAATACTTTATTTTCGCTTGGAATTTAATTTCGCTATTTTCGCTGAAAATCCAGTGAATAACTTTTTTTTCTATGTATCGCATTCAAATCATCAAAAATCAGTGAAAATAGATTCCATACAAAACACCCAAAAAGCTTTATCAGCAAAAAATTAATTTCAGCGAAAATAAAGTATTTCACAGTAGTTAAATGTTAATTCCCACAGTTTATGTTCAAGTTTCCTGATTATCTGTCAGGAGCCTGTTATCTTGTGCTAACCCATCCTAGATCATTCTTTGACCATATAAGGTAATATTTAAATGAGCTAAACCTGTAAATCTTAAGTTTGAAAGTCATTAAGTTGTCGTGGTTGCGATAACTTTCACTATAAAGTTGTCATAACTTCTTCTCCCAGTATGAATATATAGAGTATATTATTTGAACATTTGCATGTTAATTACTTTGATAGTTGGTAGTGATATTTCGCAAACTATAGTATCATTGAAAGTTAATAATTACCTTTTGCATGCTCCTACATGTAAATAAATAGCAGTAATTTTGAAAGCTAGTGGTCCAAAGGATAATTGAAAAATAATGCAATAATTCGGTTTTCATTTTTTTTGATTATTCAATACAAGAAGATATATGTTTAATAATATATGTTCAATGTTTATTAAATACTGCTTTAATACTTGAATATGTGCATTACAGTTTGATTTGGATCAACAAAATAACATATTACTCATTTTACTGTATATGGCACATACTGGAACGACGTATTGCAAAAAATGTCTGAAACTGTGTGTGTATTTCTGTGTACCTTAAGGAGAACCAATACTATAAATTGGGGCAGATGGCCACCGTAATTAGTATGCTAATCTGAACCAGGCCGCTCACATTGCGAAAGAGCTCTGAGAATGTGCCATTTACGATGTTTGGGAATCAAGCTGTGATTCCAAATACATTTCTACGGGGCATGAATATGTACGCTAGCGTCAACACTCATCTGGTTGGAGTTTGATGTATAATGTGTGTTTTTCGGTCGAAACGTGCCGTGACAGTAAAATCATGAGTTTAAAATGGCAGCTAATGTATGCAAAAGGCCTGTCAATCACAGTTTGAGTATTAAAGCGTGCATGATAAGCATTCATTTACTTAGTGGGCAGAGACGGAGTTAATTACCCATGAGCACATGGTGCAATCCATTGGATTGAGCGGTTCCTCTTTAATACTTGTAGATAAGCTGCACGTTCTTCTAAAACCATTGTAGTCTTATAGAGAACTCATTATAGTTGTTTTACATTGCAGGTTTGGTGTTCTGTCATAGCAGGATTCCTGCATTACTTTTTCCTGGCAGCGTTTGCATGGATGAGTTTGGAAGGAATTCAACTGTATGTCATGTTAGTAGAAGTCTTTGAAGCCGAGCATTCCAGGAGGAGATACTACTATCCATATGGATATGGTGAGTGTTATACACCTTAACTTCACGGTTCATTATCATCCATGTACATCATGATTTTTGCTGCTTTCTGACTCCAGTATGCAAGACACATAACATTATTCATTATTTTAGTGATTTTGTAATATTGAGTAATTTAGTGATTGTATTTTGTTATTTAGCATATTGTTTTTGTTTTGTTTTATTTCCTCTACCTTGTGACCATTTCCTTTCCCTCTAGGGATTGTGTAAGAGTCAATGAGTAAATATAGTATAAATATAACAAATGCTCTAGTTATATTTTTTTTTCATTTCCATCGTTTATTGTAAACATACTGTATCTGCACGGTCTGTCTGAATGTTTTAATTTATTTGCACCATTTAATATTATACTGCACCATTTAATATTATACTGCACCATTTAATATTATACTGCACCATTTAATATTATACTGCACCATTTAATATTATACTGCACCATTTACAGTACACACAACCCAAGTTAGGTTAAAAGAATTTCCTGAAACATTCCTGAAGCGTGCATCTCTGCATAAACCTAACATTGTATCCTTAGTGTAATAAATCTGTTGATGTTTTCTATGCAGGAGTTCCTGCGGTGATTGTTGGTGTATCTGCTGCTGTATACTACGATGGATATGGAACAGACCAATAGTGAGTCAAAACTCAATAGTTTGAATTTTGTCCACAATTATAAAGTCAATTGTCTAGTCAATTTATGAACTATTTGAACTTCAAAATAACCTTTGTGAACTGGCTTAAAATCTGCATAATTTAAAAAAACAAACAAACATGTACATGTAATGTGAAATTTACCAAAATTACCTTTGAACTGAATGCGTAAACACAGGGTAAACATATATCAAGCCATTTAGCATATACTTTTCATCTGTTAGAGGCTGTATACATAGCATGTGCATTTCAACATTAAAGTGTGTATTCATTTGGTGTCACACGGATCATTTTGGTTGAAGATTACATGGAATGCGGCATGTGTCCCTTTAATCTGCATTGATACACCAACAATAATGTAACTATTATATGTCTGCAGCCGTTGAAGATAAGTCGACAAAAATGCTGGCAACAGTTCCATGTTTGTAATTCTGTTTTGAGCCTGGTTCTAGTGTGGAGCATATTCACTTCTTTTACTGTTTAGTTTTTGCTGCTGGGATGTTTTGCAATTTAATGATTTAATGGAGAAGGTGATGGCAAAATTTCATAAAAGTTGTTTTGATTTGTACTACCGTAAAATCTGTATTAGAAGCCGCATCCCTAATAGAAACCGCACCCATTCTTTTTGAACAACTGAGACCTAAAAATTCACCGTTTCTCATATGTGTAGATGCTCTAATAGAAGCCGCATCCCCTCTGTTGCATTGTACCATTTTATTAGAAGCCGCGGCTTTTAATACAGATTTTACAGTAGTACTTTTTTTTTCGATCCCAGTAAAATTTTCACTTCTTACAAAATTTCATGATATCACTGATCACAAAATTTTAATCTCTTGTGGAATTAAAGCATTTTACAGTATTTATGCCATCATAGTAATTTTAATCATATATAATTTTTTCTCATGAATATTTAATCACAATATGGAATGAAAAAAAATTTTAAAAACATAATAATAATTTTTTTTATTGTAGTTGTTGGATAACCACTGAGCGAGGTTTAATTTGGGCATTTGTTGGTCCTGTCTGTGCTGTTATTTTGGTGAGTACAGCAACTTTTTAGTTTACTGTGAAAACTTATTCATTCTCCCAGTTTGTGATGCTTCAAACTAGATTTTATATACTATCTTTTAGTTTGCGCTAACTTTTTATTCATACATTGTGAAAAGTGGCATGGAAATAAAAAAAAATCTATGTTCATAATTGCGACACATATCAATGACAATTTCAACAGAACAAGAACTTCAATTTTTTTTACACGTGACTTGAACATAACATGCATGTGTCAATAAAAATAATGCTTTAAAACAATGCATAGATATTGTAAAATATTCTCAGTAAAAGCAATTATTATACATCTGTCACCGTAACGCCATAAGTTACAGCGTGCCATCATTTTGTGGTATTTTGAGCGGTAATTTCATCCTACCATATAGGGAAATGCGAATTCCAAATATGGAATGATTATGCTCTAATGATAAAAACAAACATGGCTGCCACCAGGGTTTGACCGGACTCCACACAAAGAAGTTTGCTGATTCTGTTCTAAACTTTTTGATTTTGGCATTCCCATGATATATCCTTGGAAAGAAAAGATGTTGCACGTCGGTTGGTACTCCAGCTGTACCGTCTTCGTGCATACTTTGAGGTATTCTTGAGGTAATAACCTTATAATATTATCGTCTGCTTGATTGACTTTGGTCCTATGATGTCAAAGGTTGAAAGTTCATTACCACAATATATGATTACCATGACTGAGTTCCTGTGTGAGTTCAAGTTTTTGATTGGATAACTGCTTGACACTGTGTCATTATTCCTCTCATTGAGTTCATCTTGAGTGTAACTTCATTGGTACAGCATTATTTTTTGGCAAATTTACAGTCTTTGAAGCTCCATTGGCATGGCACTGCTGTGTGCATAAAGCAAAAAAATATCCTAGCAAATGTTATGTTATCTATTTCTATTCTCAAAAAAATGACTCACTATTTAATTGCATCAACCAATAGGAAAAAAGTAATTTTCATTGGTATGCTATTAATTCATGCTTCTGAAAAAACTTGTGAAAATTATTTTCACTACTGCTAAATAATTTTTAGGGTAGTTTAGTTTTCTCTATTAGAGATTGTGTATGAGTGGTTGTTATATTTTATAATAAGCAGTTGTTTCTCATTGATAGAGGGCGCTATTCATATAACTACATTGTACAAGTATACATATTTTTGAAGTCATGCAATTATGTACCACATATCTGCAGTAAATAAGGAAATTGTACAAAGTGAGATCAGATATTTTTAGCTTCGCTGTCGACTTTGTCGAGCGGAGCTTATCATATGAGTGATTGTCTGTCGTCGTCGGCGTCGTTCGTCGTCCGTGTCAATGTTTTACTTTTTCGAATTCTTCTTGAAAACTACAAGCCTGAATGCTTTGATACTTCGTGTATATGTACCTTGGGTAGACCTCTCTCAGATTTGTTCATTTCATCATGATATCTTCAATTCTCTAATTTTGGTGAATATTTTTGTCATTTTTGGTAAAAAGTGATATTTTCAACTTCTTGTTAAAAACCGCAAGTCCAATTGCTTTGATATTACATATATAGGTACAACATGTGGACCTCTCTCAGATTTGTTCATTTTGTAATGATATCTTTAATTCTCTAATTTTGGTGAATATTTTTGTAATTTTTGGTAAAAAGTGATATTTTCAACTTCTTGTTAAAAATCGCAAGTCCAATTGCTTTGATACTACATATATAGGTACAACATGTGGACCTCTCTCAGATTTGTTCATTTTGTAATATCTTCAATTCTCTAATTTTGGTGAATATTTTTGTCATTTTTGGTAAAAGTGATATTTTCTACTTCTTGTTGAAAACCGCAATTCCAATTGCTTTGATATTACATATATAGGTACTACATGTGGACCTCTCTCAGATTTGTTCATTTCGTGATATCTTTAATTCTCTAATTTTGATGAATATTTTTTGTAATTTTTGGTAAAAAGTGATATTTTCGACTTCTTGTTGAAAACCGCAAGTCTGATTGTTTTGATAATATACATATTGTTCATTTTTTAATTCTGTTCTTTAATTGAAATGTGCATTGCTAACAGCGGAGTTATCTCAGCCGAGAGGCTCTTGTTATTTAATTATTGTGTAGTTTTTGTCAGCTGTAACTCTGGTATTCTGTCCATAATTATGTGAAATTAGAAACATGTTTTAAAAGTGATTTGCATGCATTTTGTTTACACATAATTTGAATGTAATAAAGATTTAATATTTTGCAAATCTATTTGTTTTCTAGGTTAATATGATATTTTTAGTGATGGCTGCTGTTATTATGTGCAGGCATTCCGGATCAGCACCTGGTAAAAAACAGACAGGGTAAGTATTTGCTATAGCGCCATCTAGTGGCCACTGTAATTATATTTAATAATTTTGTTTTTTAACATGCACCATCTAGTGGCCAGTATAAGTTACCTTGTTTTACTTTGTTTTTTTTGCACAAGTTGAACTATTTTAAAGACCAAGCTGGTAAACTGTACCAGTAAATACTGTCTCTCAGATCACTATTTAACAGATTAACTGTCCGGTGATGATAATAACACAGTGTTTATTTTTTTATGACCAAATTATTAAAAGTCTTGCCTGAAATGCAATAAGAAAAACATAAAAAGTCATGTAATGTGATTTTTAACATACTAACTCTACTATCTTCATATCAGCACACAAGACCAACCAGTCACTAATAAAATGATGTAAGCAAAATATTTGTTCCTAGATGTTAGTCTTCATTGTTTTATAATATGTAGAACACTTTTATCCAAAATCAATGAAATGAAAAAAAACTTAATAAATGATGAAATCACAAATCCACTTTTGGGCACAAAAAAAGTATATAAGCAACTACAAATGTATAGACCCAGCCAGGTAGTATATACATGTTTAGCTGTTCTATGATAAGATATAGTCTACTTGGAATAGTCATTAGATTTACATACGATTAGAGGTGTAATTGTATGTAAGTATATATAAGTCACTTTGTTGGATGTCCATTGTAAAAGCAGCTCCCTAGTTTGGTTGATATTCTCCAAGTAACTATTTTGTTGTAATGTCTATTGTAAAAGCAGCTCCCTAGTTTGGTTGATATTCTCCAAGTAACTATTTTGTTGTCTATAGTAAAAACAGCTCCCTAGTTTGGTGTATATTTTCTGAGTAACTATTTTGTTGTCTATTGTAAAAGCAGTTCCCTAGTTTGGCATATATTCTCTGAGTAACTATTTTGTTGTTTATTGTAAAAGTAGCTTCCTAGTTTGGTATATATTCTTTGAGTAACTATTTTGTTGTCCATAGTAAAAGTAGCTCCCTACTTTGGTGTATATTCTCTGAATTTCAAGTTAGATGTTTTTTGTAAAAGTAGCTCCCTTGTTTTGTGCATATTGTCTGAGTAAGTAGTTTGTTGTCTATTATATGATTATGTTCCTATTTCAGTCTGTATGAATAGCTCCAATGTTTATACATGTTTGGTGTATACCATAATTTAGAAACAAATTCCAATTATTGTAATCAGGGACCTTTAGTTTAGTCAGTTTTTATTATGTGTGTGACATTCAACTTTTAGAACACATTTCTTTCCCATCATCATGTCACTACCCCACCCTGTCACTGCCCTGCCCTGTCACTAGACCATCTTGTCACTAACCTACCCTCTTACTATCCCACCCTCTCACTGCCCACCCTTTCACTATCCCACTTTCGCACTGCCTTACTTTTTTTCAATACCCACCCTCTCACTACTAATACAAATCCACTTTACTCTTGCACGCAATCCATATAGACTCGGAGAGACTAAAATGCAAGAACAGTTGTAAATAGTATGCTGTGAATTTTTTTATTTCACCTCAAAACAAAACAAAACTAGAATCCATAAAGAATAATTGTATGACCTGATCACTGCAAGGCAGTGAAAATAAACATTGATTGCATGCTCAGATCGCATCATGTGGCACAATAGACCATTTTCCGTTCACTGCGAGAATCACGCGTTATGCGTGAAATTGAACGTAAAAACAGGACAAACAAAGGTCATAGCATCGTAGTGGTGTCAAACATCGCGTGGGATCCGACAAACGCGAAAATATTTTGGGGGTCATTTCCATGCTAAATAATGTGCTGTATACATTTGATGATAGACAATTTCAATTAAGTGAGGGTATTCGAAAGCAATATTCCTCTGTCGAAGATCGGCCGGTCGATGTGAGCTATGAAATAAAGAAAATCGAGTTCAAAATCAAATCGTTCGATTTTTACGGCAGACGTTCAACGCACGTCTTTCATGCATCTCACGAGATCTCGCAGTTGAATGGAAAATCACTTATTGGGTTCATCAATGGTATGCTTACAGATACATATAAATGGACATACACCACATTAAATATTATGTAAAAGTAATCTGATGATTTTCTATGATTTTTCAGAACCTGGATCAAAGCAGCCTGTGTATTACTTTGTTTACTGGGCATTACATGGATATTCGGATTGATGTATATTAATACACACACTCTAGTCATGGCTTATGTATTCACTATTGCTAACTCACTGCAGGGTCTTTTTATATTTGTATTTCATTGCTGTCTGAATGAAAAGGTGAGAAAAATTAACTTATTGAATCCTGTATCATTAGAATGTTATTATTGACAGCATTCTGATTAAAAAATATCCAAAATTATGGCATTATTGTGGCAAAATAACCAACATTAGTGTCTCCAGTCTCAAGCCAAAATGGCTACCTGGAAAAATATCATTGGCATGTAGTGTTGAAGAGTGAGTTAATTCCAAAATGAGTGGACAGTCATTTTTGTTTCTCAAACTGAATTTATTGAATCAATTTATTGAATAAATTTTTGAAATTGGAACATTGCACCAAAAAACACAGATAGTATAATCCATGTAGATAAGATCAATCCATGGGATCCCAAGTAGATAAGATCAATCCATTGAATGGCATGTAGATAAAGACATGATCAACCAGTTGGATCCCATGTAGCTAAGATCATCCCATTGAAACCGATGTACATGGGATCAACCCATTGAAACCTGTGTAGATAAGATCATCACATTGAACCCCATTTACATGGGACCAAACCATTGAAACCCATGTAGATAATATCAACCCACTGGATTCCATGTACATGGTATCAACCAATTGAAACCCATGTAGATATGATAAACCCATTGAAACCCATGTAGATAAGATCATCACATTGAAACCCATGTAGCTAAGATCAACCCATTGAAACCCATATAGATAATATCAACCTATTGGATCCCATGTACATCAACCCATGTAGATAAGATCAACCCATTGAAACCCATATAGATAATATCAACCTATTGAATCCCATGTACATGGGATCAACCCATAGATAAGATCATCACATTGAAACCAGTGTAGATAAGGTCAGTCCATTGAATCACATGTAGACATGATCAACCCATTGGATTCCATTTAGCTAAGATCACCCCATTGAAACCCATGTACATGGGATCAACCCATGTAGATAAGATCAACCCATTGAAACCTATGTAGATAATATCAACCTATTGGATCACATGTACATGGGATCAACCCATAGATAAGATCATCACATTGAAACCAGTGTAGATAAGGTCAGTCCATTGATAAGACATGATCAACCCATTGGATCCCATGTACATGGGATCAACCCATTGAAACCCGTGTAGATAAGATCATCACATTGAACCCCATGTACATGGGATCAACCCATTGAAACCCATGTAGATATGATCAATCCATTGGAACCAATATAGATAAGATCATCCTATTGGATCCCACAGAGCTAATCATCACATTGAAACCAGTGTAGATAAGATCATCCTATTGAAACCCATGTAGATAAGATCATCACATTGAAACCCATGTAGATAAGATCATCACATTGAAACCCATGTAGATAAGATCATCACATTGAAACCAATGTAGATAAGGTCAGTCCATTGAATCACATGTAGATAAGACATGATCAACCCATTGGATCCGATGTAGCTAAGATCACCCCACTGAAACCCATGTACATGGGATCAACCCATTGAAACCCGTGTAGATAAGATCATCACATTGAACCCCATGTACATGCGACCAAACCATTGAAACCCATGTAGATAATATCAACCCACTGGATCCCATGTACATGGGATCAACCCATTGAAACCCATGTAGATATGATCAATCCATTGGAACCAATATAGATAAGATCATCCCATTGGATCCCACAGAGCTAAGTCATCACATTGAAACCCATGTAGATAAGATCATCACATTGAAACCCATGTACATGGGATCAACCCATGTAGATAAGATCAACCCATTGAAACCCATGTAGATAAGGTTAGTCCATTGAATCACATGTAGATAAGACATGATCAACCCAATGGATCCGATGTAGCTAAGATCATCCCATTGAAACCCATGTACATGGGATCAACCCATTGAAACCAATGTAGATAAGATCATTACATTGAAACCCAATGCAGTTGAGGAGTTTCAGCCCATTGTAAAACATGAGATTATTGAGATCATTGAAAGATCATTTCATTGAAAGCCCTTATCATAGAATCTCATGCAGTCGCTAACAATTATATATGGAACCCATTATACACCTTAACTTT